AACAAAATATTATTTTTTTAATCTTCTAGTGGAAAACTTACGCGTAAGTCGTCTGGGAAAAGTCTTACATGTAAATCGTCAAAAAAAATTTTTAAAGTCAATGCAAAACTAACCTTTGCATTGACCAGACGACTTTCAGGTAAGTCTGCTTACCTGGAAGTCGTCTGGACATACATATATGGAGAAAATCTTGATTTCATAGTTTCAACTTTCAACCAGTGATAACTTTTTTAGCACACAGAAGTCTATCTAGGCACCCATAATCTCAAACAAAAGTGAATCACAGAGAACCGTAAGCTTCAATAACTCTATGAACCATAAATATTTTAGAATAAAAATCTTGGGTTATTTGGATAAATATGGAAAGAAAGTGAAAGATATGTTGTTTTTATTTCATAATAATTGAGAAATAAGAAATATAAATCGCTTTGAAGTACATTAAGAGCTTCAAATTGTTTGTTCATGGTAGTTGGTGTATTGATTGCAATGACAATCTTAAAAATATTTGAAGATGATGATGTTGAGAGACTAAAAAAACCATTTTCAGAAAGAAAAAAAACTAATGGTATTTTTGTAAATAATGTGAACTTGTAGGGGTGAATAGGGCAAAAGAAAAATCCAAAAAAATTGTAGATTATTTTTGAGGTTGACTCCATGTTTTGAGTCATTTTTGAAAATAGCCCAAATTTCTAATTTATTTATACGTTGGTTATAATAAAACTACAAAAATGTCAATACCAAATAAAATATGTCTTATTGTTCGTATAGCTCAATTATTTAAAATTATTAAAAATGAATAATTAAGACTAATTAAAAGTTAACACATTTCAATCTAATTATTTACTAAATTAATAAGGTACTTATAAAGACATTCAAATATTCATGATTTATTTGAAACCATGTAAGACGTATGTGGTAAAAGACATAATTATATGATACTTTAAAAAGATCTTATTCCTTAACATATTCTTTTAACATATCACACAATATCCTTTTACCTTTTGCATCTTCTATAAAAGAAAATATTTTCAAAGAATTACATACTTATAACTTAAGAAGGATTTTTGGTATAACAATACACAAATTGAAAGAATCTTAAATTGTTTATCTCTTCTAAGTATCATGGAATATATCATGAATTTGTAAAGTCAAGGATAGTGTTATAAATTCTTAAGATGAATATTCATCGGATAGAAATAATAAAAATAAAATATTTCAAAATTTTATTTAATGCTCCAATTCTACTTCTCATCACATAATAAGTAATAAAAATCATCTTTATCTATAGATTCATTTTTCTAAATAAAATTTTCAACTTTTATTAAGAATCAAACTTGTGAAAAAACATTTATAATTATTAGCTAATGGTTACATCAAAAATTGCAATAACTCATACTAAAAGGTACAATAATCACCAACAATAACAATGATTCATCACCAAAGATTGTAATTTCCAAAATTTGTAGTCATCAACGTTTACAATGTTTCAATGTATCACCAAAACATCTTATAATGAAAAATTGCATTTTTAGGATGAAAAGATACATTATTGTGAAAAATGAATCTTTAGATATTTTTACTTTAAAACTAATAAAATATTAAGATGGAAAGACACATTCTTTAACATTTGTTTGGATTCATATTATTAATAGTTATAGTGATTCTCCACTAAGAATTTGACAAAGTTTGTTGATAACATAACATTTTAATATGTTTGAATATTTTTTTTGTAAGCAGATAACTGAACATAAATTTCTTTTCATCATCTTAATAAAATTTTGAACGATTTACAATGAGAAATTTATCAATATGGACTATTTATATATTTTTGAAAATCTATACGAAAGTTCATGACTTTTAGATTTGAGAATTAGATAGTTAGATAGTACATTTACAATATATTATGTATAGACACATTATTACAAAATGACATGTTATTATATATTAAAAGACACATAATTATAGAAGAGATACTTATTGAGATATGTCAATATTTTAAAAAAAAACTATTTTATAATGAGAAGACACAAATCTTAAAACTATTTATTATAGAAAAACACATATTAGGATATTTAACTACTTTAAAAAAAATTCAATAGTTGCATGTTGGAAAAATAAAACTAATCTCACATTTTTAATGAAAATACTAAACCTTTTAACATTAAATGAGATTCTTATTATTATTTAAAAATAGTTGCATATTATCATGTAAATAATAAAGATACTAAACCATTATCCATACTTGATTTATTTTGATATTTGATCAGTTCACCAGACATTTAGCACTCTTAAATTTTACAAGAGTTTTGATCCACGCTACGTGCAGGTTTCTTTCTATATTTTGGTTTTACTTATATTTTTTAATTTTTTAATGTGTATTTTTTTAAATGTAATAAATGTTTATTTTTACTAAAAAAGTGTAATAAATTTGTTGTTTATCGCCTCACTGAAACATTTTTATTTAGTTATATTGAAGCAATAAGAGATTTATGTTTATTGTCAGAAAAAATATTTATTTTTATTTTTGTCTCACTTTTCATTAATTTGGTCATATATTTTTTGATGTTTTGATGTTTTGTTATCATGGTTTTTTTTTTACTATTTTAGTATTTATGTGTCTCATTTGATTACATTTTGAGTACATATCATTTAAATAAATTTCAATGTATAAAATTAAATATTTTAGTAATTTATAGATTTAGAAGAGACAATTAAAAATTTATTATTAAATTGAGAACTGAATAGACTTAACTTATATCCTTTATTAGAAATTTTTGTTTATGTAGTATTATGTTTTTGAAAAATAGTTGGATATTGATACATACATTATATAGAGTAATAAGTATATAGGTATAACTTGTAGTTTCTGTTCTTCGCTTGGAAAACACAGGCTCTACAGAAGATCCGCCATCTTATATGGCAGCTACTGTCTGGATATATAGCAGTTACTGGAAACCTAACTAGACGTCATATGCGTTGCGAAAATTATTGTCCAAAATGTGGTGAGCCGGATGAGACAGCTAATCATGCTATTTTTGAATGCCCACCGGCATTGCAGACATGGGCCCTTGCCTCGAGACCCTCGTACCCGGGAATCTTTCCAACAACAAGCATATTCACAAACATGGGTTATCTATTCTGGAGAAAGAATGAGATTTGAGACCCTAATCTGGACAGAGATCCATACCCATGGATTATATGGTTTTTATGGAAAGCAGAGAACGATAAACTGTTCAGAGGCATCTCAAGAGACCTGCTTGAACTAGTCAGACATGAAGAGAGTGAATGCAATGCTTGCTTTGAAGCAAATGCTAAGAATGACGAGGACGATCAGCCTGCACATAGGGATACACAAGCCATAAGCTGGCAAAACATTTGTCTAGTGGACGGATCATGGACAGCTGAAGGGGACCGCAGCGGATATGGATGGGTTTGGAAGAATGGGTTAGGAAAGGAGCAGCTACTTGGAATATGGAACAAATAAAACATTATGTCTTCTTTGCATGCAGAATTGGAGGCGCTGATCTGGGCCATGGAGAGTATGATACAAAACACCAATTGCCAACATTTTGGGACGGACTGCGAGAATGTTTTGGCAATGATAAGGAGCCCGAAGGACTGGCCAAGTTATTCCACAGAGCTAGGAGAGTTTGCTGAATTGAAGAGAAGACTTCTAGATTTCAATATTTCACACGTACCACGAACGCTTAACTGGACTGCAGATGGTTTAGTTAGGACTGCTCGTACCTTGTAACGTCAGTTGATTTTTGTTGGTTGTTCTATTTCAGTCTAGATTCCCAGACTACTTCAAGCCTGAGTAATAGAATAGCCTTTTGATGTTAAAAAAAAAAACTTGTAGTTTTCCGTTTTGTTACTAATAGGGTTGGACATAAATCTGAATTCCAAGAATCAAACATAATCTGATCTCAAAAGTAGTATCGCATTCGAAAAGAAATTTGCTAAATATCCGAACGGGTCCAAATTTTAGTATTTAGAATACCACTTCAAACCTTATTTGTACTGAAATATTTTGGGTATCCACATACATCCGAATCATATTTATATATTTGACTGTATAAGATACTTTTAGATTTAATAACAAAAAAAAATCCAATATATATATATGAAATATACAAACTAATTCTTATGTTAGATTTAGATATTTTGGCATACAGTACTTAAACTTATGTGTTATACATTATTATTTTTTTTTAACTTTTGAGAAATTTAAAGTATTATATGAATTCTAAAGTTTCATAAATAATTTAAATGGGTTATCCAAACACGTGAAGATCCGAACCAAACTAACCGAAATTTATAAATACCCGAATAGGACTGAAATCCTTACCTCTGAAATCCGAATAACCGAACTGAACCTGGATGCCCACTCCTAAATACCATATTTTTTCCTCTTTGATGAGAGTTTGTAACACTTAATTATTTTTGAAACATATATGTAAAATTTAGTAAACCTAATCAATGCTTCTATTTGTTTGGTTAGTAGAATCATTAATTCATATTGTTGCAGTTTGAACATCATAAAAGTGCATAGCGATTAATATTATATTTTTTTGAAAACGACATAAACGATTATTTTTGAACGTATTAATAGAAGAGGTGATACACACTGTTTTGTAAATATATACATTTCTTATATTTTTGTACGTAATATTATTGAAGAAAATGAAAATTTTTATATTATAATATCTGAAGTATACTATCCAGTTTAAAATTTGAATTTGTTTAAGTTAGATATGAGTTTGATAATACTTTTGCTTCATATGTGACTGAAAATTAATGATAACATTATCTATAAACTTTTCTTTAAATAAAAACATAATTTTTTGATTATTTTGAATGAATGGGAAAATATATTCAACCCAAAAAACCCTTTTTACAATGACTGCCTATTTGTTTTATGAGTTTTTAAATATCAAAGAGAAATAGACACTACAAAAGTCATTAATCCCATAAGTGAAATACTTCTTTGCTTTCTAACATTATTGCCGAAAAACAACAAAAGCTGTGTCACCACCGCACCTACAGTTCCACCACTTCGCGTCATTCCCGCCATCACTCCTAACTACCTGTCATCGGAAATTAAAAAAAAAAAAAATTAATAAAACTGAAATTAATAAATTAATAAAAATTGAATAGTAAAGTGGAGATAAATGGTACGATGCCAAATATGAGACCAGAAGCAGCTTGAACGAATATAGAAAATATCCACATAACAACAATCGATGTCCAGAGCGAGTTGACTCGTCCGAGTAACACACACAACAATCCAGCCACAGATTGCATAATCCAAACCTCCCAGAGCCTCCCTCTCATCCGAATCTTCTCCCCGGCAATCCAAAACCATCCCTCCTGCCGGCCGTGATGCAACGTTTGATATCGCAAAACTCGCGGCGATCGTTCCCTCTGCCTCTAGATTCACGCCGAATCGCTTGTAAAAATATCCTCCGAGAATCACTTTTATTTTATGATGTGGCTTGTGATTATAGTTACGGAGAGAGACACCTTGCTAGAATTTCTGATTTATGAGCTTTGTGGACCACATTCTTTAAACAAAACAAATTTTAAAAACATGAAGCCCAAAAATCATACCCATTTTTTCGCTGATGTGACAAAACGAAATGTCCTCATTGATCAATTATTTTTTCTGACGTGGACATCCTATGTAAAGCCTATATATCCCCTTTATTACATGTTTGATTTGTGGCTTATCACCTCGCAACTGTCACATAAGTCTACCGCATGCATATAATTCAAATTTTGAGAATTATTTATGTATGCACACATTAGTATCAAGCATTGATAATTTTTAAACTAACAATTTAGGAACCGTCAACTTAAACGCAAAATCTATAATATTTTATCTCACCCATGGAGATGTCACTAAAAGGTAAAAGTTAATCTCAGTTTTTGATGTAACCCTAAAGATCTTGTGGCACTTACTGACTTCTCCTAACATTAGTAAGCAAGGTTTTCCAAAGCATGCATTTTCATTCTCACAAGGCTCAAATTATACAGGATTGGAAGTTGGTCCTCCAAAGTTGATGCATGAAGGAATATGGCATCTCCGATTTCGAACCCTTTTTCATTTACTCTATCTCATAAGTGAACTTTGATGCATGATCTCTTGTACCATATAATCATTCTATTCTCCAAAAATAATAAGATTATTGGAAATTTCATTCCAAATCCCTTTGTCAAGATTTGAAAGCAGATCCCATTTCTCACCAAAGTCTGGAAAATGGAAAAACACCGGAGAACAGTTTTGTAGAACTTAAAGTCACCACCCACTGCATTTGCCAGACAAAAACTGCCAATAACCATTACGATAAACCATGAATTCGTCATCTAGAGAAACAAAGACAAGTACTAAATATAACCACATGAAATGGAGATTACTCAATGCCGTGACGAAACCTGAGAATCTAAAAACCATGTAGTCGTTAGCGCTTGGCACATATACTCAATACTCTGCTCGTACTCACTACTCATCTCGTACTTTTCATCTAAATCAAGTACTTGCAGTGATCAAACCAAGTAACAAGTATTTCAAATCAAAAACTTGTAAGTACAAGTCAAGTCCAAGTCTTTAAAAAGTTTTAACTACTTGACACGTTTGTACTTGTTACTTGCTATATTTTTTATAGTTTCAAAATCTTAATCCATTTACATTTTAAAATTAGATGAACCATGTTTCTTTTTATTTGGCTCTTGTTTCACTTTAAAAAAAAATCAATTTCTCGGCTTTGTTAAATCAAATAATAAGCCAATAAATCTTAATATTTGTCAATGTACGCCAGTGAAATATCTTTATATCTTTTAATATTTGTCTCATTACTTTTTTTTACCTAATCTTCATTAGTTGTTTCTAAAAAAAAAATATTATATATTTAACAGATTTTGTCTTTTATTTATAGTGAAACTAAAATTAGATAAAAATTTGAGATTCGAGGAAAAGTTTTTAATAAATAAGATAGAAAGTTTTGTTGTATGAGATTATGCTTTCCTGCATATTTATCTATCTGCTGTAATGATATCTTACTTTTTTTTTTTGTTTAATCTTGGGAGTATTACTTGCCCATGTAGATGTCCAGACTAATCCCAAAGAGGTGATGCAACCCATGGAAGGAATCTCACTCTGAGTATTCGAATGAGCCGTAAGATAAATCTATATTTGCGTGACCACAAGGTAAAATATAGTGGGGTTTCTTCGACGATGCCGACTAACCAATTCGCCAAATTCTTCTTAAAAGCAACTTTCAACCAAGCTTAAGTCATTCAGAGACTGCGGTAAGACCTTGAATAGGTTAGGCTAGTCAACAAGTCAAGAAGTGTCTTGAGCTTGGTTGAAAATTGCTTTTAAGAAGAATTTGTATGTGTTTTTTAAAGGATTTATCTAGTCGTATTTCTTGAAAAGAATAATCCCCGTGTTAGTGTGTTCTCTAGTTTCTGTATTACATAATTCTTACACTTACAGATTCCTTAAGGAGTGGATGTAGCGTGATATCATCGTGAGTTTCGCTCTCTCCATATAATATATATGGCTTGCTTGGATACATATATCTTGAGGAAGCTGTGCGTTTTGTTCTGTGTTGCTGGGAAATGGTTGCTACCAGTACATTCCAGTCCACTGAAAAATTTGTTTCAATGAGCTTTAGTGACAGCTCCGTCCACAGAGTCGAAGTAAAAATACAGGTGAACACTTCTTGAGATCTCGGTTATAAATACCAAATTGCCACAAACATTTCATGGCAAAAATGAAAAGCCACAGAAAATGTATGAAGTAAAACACGTGGTAAACCGTGTGCAATTTGGGGGAAAAAAAACCTACGAAATTGCTAAGAACCATAACATGGCAAAGGAAAGCTGCGATTTAACAAGTTAAATACATAGCAAACCGTGAGCAACTAGCCACGAAATTTCCACGATTATATTGTGGCTATAGATATGTCTAATAAAAAGAACAAGATAATACAGTCCACCGAAAAAACGTTCCACCAATCAATTCGGGAATATATGTCAATGAAAAAAAAAAAAAACTACTGGCTACAAATATAAACTGTGGCAAACTTTGTGGATTCTGTCGTGCCAACAATCGTAGCAAATTTTATGGCAAAACATTTTTATTTTTATTTTTTTTTATGGCAAAACATGGTAAAAATGTGCCTACTAATCCCTTAATATTATATTTCCATTAAAATAACTATCAAAATAATTAATAATGTATAAATAATATTCTCCATTCTTCCTTAAAAAAACTATAAAATTATCTAATAAGGTTAACAAATGCATGACAAATTAATAATTTTGAATAATAAATATTTTCCATCAATTTTTTAAAACAATTTATATTCTTAAAAGAAATTAAACAATCATATTAATCATATAATAAAAACAGACTTTTCTTATATGCTATATTTTAAATTTTTTAAATGATTATAAATTACTAAAATTGTAAAAGAAAATTCACATTGAATTTTTATGATCAATGATTTAATTTTTTTTTGTTATAACAAGATAAAAATGATCATAAAATCATATAAATGTGAAGTCACATTTTAATATATATATATATATTAAGATATATAAACATATATATATATATATATATATCTATATATATATCTTTTAATATATTTAAATTAAAATATATCATATATAAAATACATAAACATGTTAATTTGAAAATATGCATTGAGTAGCAAGCATCAATTAATAAATAATCATATCAATAAAAATTATATTTTTTTTACAGTAAATTTTAAAATGTTAATAAAATTATATGAGCACGAAACCTCAATTAATAAATATTTATATCAAAATATACTATATTTTTATCTCAATATGATTTAATTTTAATTATATACCATGTAAAATAAATAAATAACTATTTTGATTTTTTCACAAAAAAAAATTATTGTAAATACAAACATTAATTGTTTTTATCTATGTTCTTACCCCCACTATAATTATATACGTAATAGTTACTCGTTTTTCAATTAATTGAATATAAATATTATTAAATAATACATAAGTTAACAAAAAATAAATAATAATATGTATAAATAATTTGTATATATAGTTAATGTTTATTGCGGACAAGCATGGATTTCAAATTTTTTTGATCATATCATTTCAAAAATATAATTCTTCATATCAAAGTGAGATGGTGAATTATAGCATTCGGATGATAACATTGAAGTAAAATAAAATTTAAATAGGTTTAATAAATCAAAATATCAACAAACATTATCTTACTTATCAACTTTATATTGACGGTCTATAATTGTACCTTTAGGGACTTATGACATGATGATTGAACGATCTAAGTTAGTATTCCACGATTATTAATATATAAATTTCATTATGTGTATGCGTGCGGATAATCACCTAGTTCTCTATAAAAGACAAAAAAGACAAACGATTATTCACATATTATGAGAAGGCTGGTTAGGAGATATGCGCGTAAGAGTGAGATATATTTGAGATTTCAATGCCATATTGTTTTTAATCAAGATAGTAGATTGATCTGATCTATAATTCTGTTTCAGGAGAGTTTATATATGATAGGTATTGATGTATTTATTGCATTTAATCGTATCAAAAAAATTCAGAGAGAGAAAAAAACATGTTGTATGCAAGATGTCAAAGCCAAAAACACCGTGATTCCATAAATTTATCTCTCCATCTTAACCAAGCCGGATTCAAAAATAATTATTTTGTATTGATCAAACCATATAGAAAATTACGATGATATTAGGGAATCATTGAAGACAAGTCAATGTATGGGTTAAAGAAACACTATATGCAGAAGAGAGTCATATAAAGAGAATAAAATTGTTAACATGAGAAGGGAAATTGGGTCAACCCATTTAGAGAATATTATGGAAGCACCCAATGAAGAGCAGTATGAAGATAAAAGTGTTTCAAACTTTTGGATGTGTTAAAGGTATTTTTTTCAATTAGACTTGTCTTCACGTTTAATGAAAGTAACATCTGATAATAATTTGCCAAAGTGATGTCTGGATGGATATGACAAACTTTAAGAGATGTTCTACCACAACCAAATAAATCTCCAGCGTCATATTATATGACAGAGACGCTTGGTCTCCCTCTTGATATTTGTGGGATAACTGCATGTTATTATTGAAGGAATATATGACTTATTGGTGTGTTTGTTTTGTGGGAAAGATAGATATTACCAGAAGCATGGAAAGGACAAAAATTGTTCCAAACACAGAATGTTTTATATGCCTATTACGGAGCGGCTGCATCTATACCAACTAGAGACAACCGAATTACAAATACAATGGCAC